GCAGCGAAACGCCAGGGAGAAAACATCCCCACGGATGGAGAGACAAACTGTAGCAGAAAGCAGAGAGAATTCCCCCCAGGGAATCATTCTGCAGCGCTCGGATCCTGCCCGACGCGGGGCTCCTCTGCCCTGGCCGTGCAGCAGGTCGGGAGCTGCTCCCGTCGGCAGGACTCTGGCAGGGATGCGGAGCGGCAGGGCCCTCCGCACGGAGCCGGGAATGCACAGACGGGAATATTCCTTGAGTTGCTCCTCTTTGTTCCCTCCTCTCCATGCAAGATGTCCCAGCGCGATCCCTCCGATCCCCGGGCTGTTGCAGGAGACCCGTATTGACGAGGCCTGTGTTTTTACAGCGGCGATTTGCTGGTTCTTCGATTCCCGATAGAGCTCTCCCCCGGTTTCATTTCTCAGCTTTTCTATCTATTCACCTTTTTAACCGTTTCTTACTCATACATACAAGCCTGAACACCTTATCTCCTGCAAAAGAAGGAACATCTTGTGTGGAAACTGCATCCAGCGGGTTAAATGTAACCAGAGTCCCTTTTATCTGCAGTACGGTGATGCAGCCTAGTGGATACATAGGTTTCAGTGTATAATAATGATATATGCATTATATATGTGTAACATACTTTGCTTAATCTAAATGACCGTTCAGAAATCTCCTTCCCAGGAGAAGTGCCTGCCTTTCACTTGCTAGGGCTGGCTGCAACTGTGGGTATAGAGGATGCAGAGATACAGAGGATATAGAATGGACTGAGCTCGCTGGCCTAGGTCACCCCCGAGGGTGGCCAAAAGGCTGGGTTTGATCTTGGAATCCGTTAAACACCTGGTGACAGTGCAGGGAGGGAGACTCTCCATTTTGGTTCATGGAACCGAGGTGAATTTGCAGTTAAAATATTTTTCAAAACAGGCTTTTTAGCCATCAGGAAACTTAATTCTAAAGCAGACCAAAAGCAAATGTTACCACTTTGGGTAACCTGTAATCCCAGGTGTGTGGTACAATGAAAGGCAGTAGCTACCCGCTTAAGCTGTGTATAACATGTACCCCCGTGTCCCAGCCCTTCTGTCCTGTAGAGGAGGGACCAGGCTGGGAGGTTCCTGCTCTGCACAGAACTTGCCCTGCGCTTGAGCCCTGAGTGCAGCTGCATTTAGCCCTGGGCTTGCAGGTGGCCCTGGGCTGGCTCCCGCGCTCCGAGGGTGCCCTACCGGCAGCGGGAGCAGAGCTGTGTCATGGAATCATGGAATCATGGAATGCTCAAGGTTGGAAGGGACCTCTAGGGATCATCCAGTCCAGTCCCCTGCACACGCAGGGTCACCTAGAGCACGTGGCACAGGACTGCGTCCAAGCGGGTTTGGAGATCCTCTAGTTCTGTCGGTGGCCACCAGTGAAAAGAGGCCAGCACCATCCTCCTCACTGCCTCCCTTGAGGTACTTCTAGACACTGCTCAGGTCCCCTCTCAGCCTTCTCTTCTCCAGCTGAACAGGCCCAGCTCCCTCAGCCTCTCCTCATAGGGCAGATGTTCCAGGCCCCTGATCATCCTCGTAGCCCTGCGCTGGACTCTCTCCAGCAGCTCCACATCCCTCTTGTCCTGTGGAGCCCAGAACTGGACACACTGTCCCGGGTGCCTCTCGCCTGCCCGCCCCGGGCTGCCTGCGCCGGCACCGGTCTCCCCAGCTCCCGTTTTCGGCAGCGGGAAGGAACCTGCTTGGCGCCGAGGGCGGCAGCTCGGCGGGAGGGTTGGGCCCCCCGCGGCGTCTCGCGGCCAGTTTGTGTTTCCAGCAAGATGATCGGATAAGGCGTTCAGCACGCACCTGCATCAGCAGCGTCGAGCGCAGATCGCCACGGGCTGGCCATTAATCTAGCATGTCGAGCAGCAGCAGCAACGCGACGCTTCCTCCGCATCGCCGCGGAGCGCGCGGGCGGCGCCGCGGCCCCTCACCGCTCTCCCCCTCTTGTCGTTGCAGCTCCGGCCTTGCCCAGCTCCGTTCGCCAGCGCCTGGTGGACGCCCAGCACGCGCACGGATCGCAGAGGTTGGTAGAGGGTTACGCGCCAGGCCACAGTGAGGCGGGCCAGCCCGCCCACGTCCGGGCAGGCAGAGTGTCTCTCCGTCGAATGCACAGCCTCTCCTCCGGACAGTCTGTCAGTTCCGACCCGCATGGAACCAGCCCTCCATCCGCCACCACCGCCACCTCTTCCACCTCTTGCTCCTCATCCGCCACCAGCGCATCTGCTCCTGCTTGCCATGTCCACCCTCTCTGTTACCATCACACCACCTCCTCTTATTTCCTTCAGATGGACTCCACCCCCGATCTGCCCCCTCCTGATGTCACCTCTGGGATTCGCTGTCGCACTGAGAGCTTTGGGTATATTGCTGTTTCTTTTCTAGCTCCCTCTTGCCTGCCGTGTCTCAGAACTGGTGCTTGCTCGGGTGTCCTTTCTCTTAGATTCCTTGTGCCCTTTCCTTTGGGGCCTTTATTTCGTGATTTACCCACCTTTTGTTTCTTTAACCTCTCTCTCGTGCGAGCGGACCCTCTCGGGAATGCTCCAAGGTCCATTTCCACATCAGCCTCAGGGGATGGATAACCCAAGGGGGTACCGTGTTTAGCTGTGGCTGAACAAAGGAGAAGTCCTGGGCGCTCTGTGTCTCGGAATGAGGCAGTTTTTCACTTGGGTGATACACGAGCAAAGGTAACACAACTAATCACCACTGACCTTATTTGAAGCTTTGCCTCAATTGGGGTCTTCACGAGCAAATTGCAAAGGAAACGCAGCGCGTGGGAGCTGCCAGCTCGTAGTCAGTGCTGCTGCCGGGGCGAGGGCTCGTGGGGACGTGCTGAAGTGCTGTGCTGATCCTTAGGGGTGGCGAAAAAGCAGCATTAGGAGCTTTCAGAGCGACTTTCACCTGTCCGCTTTGGTAGGGGACGAGGTGCGTTTGTGTTTTGGCTAGGGAAAGGCTCGGTAATAGGGATAGATGGTGGAACTTTTGTTTTCGGCTCATGCTTAATTTGCTCCCTGCAGTTGTCCCAGCCCCAGAGAGCGGCGGCTCTTTGGAAACCTGCACAAGAAGGGCTCGGGGACCCGCTCGGGACCCAGGTCGCGCTTCTCCTCCGGGCTGCAGGAGCACCGGGAAGGGCGACGCTGCCTCCGTGTCCGCCGGGATGCGGGGCAGGGCGTGCGAGGCGCGGGCCGCTTCGGAGGCGGACCGCGGGCGGCAGGGAAGGACGTTGGTGGCAGCGCAGGCGTCTGCGGCCTCTCCCCGCTCCGTGGCCTTGGCCAAGTCACTTCATCCTCCCTTTTCTCCTTTGTAAGATAAAAGCAGTCGCTATCCTCAGCATTAAGGAACGGTGTTACGAGGTAGGATGGAGATCTGTCCGTGAGGAATGAGGTAGGAGCAGTGTCCTTCCATGCTTGTTTATCCAGGCAGAAGAACGCACCAAGTCACTCCATGCTCATTCGTGCCGGCATGTCGCACCATCCTTCCCTTTCCTCGTAGGTGCTTCTCCTGGTCGTAGGCGCTCCCGGCATCCGCTGTCCTCCCCGCAGTCTGCTCCGTGTTCCCAACCCGCGTGCTAACCTCTGTGTCTCAAAGCAGGTCTGCCCGAGGGGTGTTTCGTGGAGCAGGGCAGCCCCAGAGCCGCAGGCATGTGGAAAACCATGCCCAATCACAGACACGTCCCACTGCTTATCTGGAATATTTGGGGGAAAAAATTCACTGCATATGGTTCCTAATGGGCCATAAAGAGCAGCATCGTAGCTAATGTAATAACATTTGGTTTTACGATGATAAGAAGCAGCGCAATTAAAATTCCGATTAATTACCGCTGCTTTAAATCGAGTCTCTCCCAGCCTGATAGATAAAGGCTGCGGGTGCTTCTCCTGGCAGCCCAGAGCCCGTGTTTGCAGCCGGCCTCCGGCTGGGAAAGAAGCAGGGCTGGAGCATCCCCACGTCCCGGCCGAGCCCTCTGCTCGGCGTCATTCCTGCCCGGCTGCAGCGGCAGAGGGAACGGGCCGTGATTTGGGGATCCCGATACAGAAGGTGACGATGTCTGGAGGTCACGAGGGGAGAATAACCAGTATTTTCTCCCCACGCTCCACTGGCGTTTAATAGCTTGTCAGGATCGAGTTGGTTGCTGTTCAGTGAAAGGTGGGTGTGCTTGCTTTGCGCTCCAGAGAAAAGAGCGCCTGTTCCTGCAGGATCGTTATTAGAGATAATTAAGGCATATTAAGAATTGGTCTTGCAAGGTTTGCTTCACCTGGACATTAGCAGGTGACCCCAAAACCCCAGCTCTTTCATTCCCTATTCATCTCAGAAAACAGAAATGAAGAATTGAGTGCCCGAATGTGGTTCGTTGCATTCGACTTTTTGTCAAACCGCATCTTGAGCAGATCCCGCCCCAGCAAAACACTGCCGTAGCGGAGAGAGCCAGCACGGCAGG